AAAAAAAAAAAAAAAAAAAGAACCTGTGAGCTCTCACACCCTCAGGTGGCCAGGGTTGCACCAGGAGGACGGGTTCACTGCTGCAGCCTCAGTACTCTCAGACGGCATTGGGCGGCCAAGGGAGGTCTTCCGGAGGAAGAGGAGGCACAGCACCAAGTAGCACCATGGTGAGGGGTGCCTGGAGGGCCTGGGCTGAGGGGAGATGGAGTCCAGAACACTCCACACCTTGAGTCCTGAGCCGAGGAGCCCAGACTAGACTGGAGGGCAGTGGGGAGCCTGGAAGTGTTTGGGAAGGGGAGTTTAGTTTAGGGCTGGCAGAGAGGGCTGGGCCCAGGTGCGGCAGTGGTTCAAAAGGGAGATGGCGAGGCTGGCAATAGACGGGTCTGTGAAGACGGAGAGGAGCAAGTGCAATATCAGAAATACTTCCGAGATAAAGACAAGCAGGGCAGGACTGAGTGAGACAGTACCAACTAGAGCTCTGAGTGGAAAAGCTGGAGTTTGCTAGTCCAGCTAGAGGAGGCTCCTAGGGCGGGGACGGGGCTGTGGGAATGCCAGGAACCAGAGCACACACTGCCCCAGACGGGAGGGGTCGGAGCTTATGACTCAGGGAACCAGAGGCTTACACCCAGCTGACCCAGTGCAGGAATGGGCCATCTGCCCTCAAGTGGTCTGAGGCTCCTGCCAGGCACATGTGGGCACCTTGGGCCAGCTGGAACCCAAGGAAGAAATGTGTGATACCTCCCACCCTCTGTCCTCTATTCTTCACTGAAGACAGGGCTCCCCTCCCCCAACCCCTGCAGCTGCTCACTGGACGGAGGGAGGGGGAAGTGGCCAGAAGGGGAAGTGTGAGGAGTTCCCCTCCAGCCTGTCACCAGTCTCGTCAGGCCCTCGGAGTGGCTGCCCAGGGCTGGGCTGTGGCCATGGAGCCTCTGGAGACCCCCATCAAGGATGGCATCCTCTACCAGCAGCACACCAAGTTTGGCAAGGTGGGACCCTGGCAGCCAGGCAGCTGCCTGAGAAAAATGGTGGGCTTCGCTCCAGTGTCAGAGAGCTTCCAGGGCCTGGGAGAATGGGGAAGGGAGTCAGGGTGGGGTTCCAGCCCAAGTGCGGGGTTATGGAACTGAGCCCACTCAACCTGAGCGGGCTGGGCTGAGCACGTCTTTGTGGGAAACTGCCTCACTTATAGATGGAGAAGCCAGGAGCAGGGAGGGTTTAAGACTCCAAACCTTGGGGCAGGGCTGAGCAGACAAGCTGGCTAATCCAAGAGCCTTCCTCCGGCCTAGGAGGGGGCCAGGGGCTGCGCTGGAGGAGCCCTCAGAAGTACAGCCCCACCCTGCAAAAGCAGCCCCGCTTGGCTCCTCCCAGTTCTGTCATGGGACCTGCTGGGGAGTTCACCTTTCTCCTCCGGCAGCTGGCCCTGCCCTGTCACAGACCAGCTGCAGCTGCTGCCCAGGCAGAGAAACAGTCTGTTTCCTTTGCTTGATGTTATTTGCATGTTTCCTTCCTTGCCATCTTGAAACTGAGGCCTCCCTCTCATCCCAACCCTTGTCCCATGGCCCAAATGATCTTTTCTTTGTAGGGGAGAGAGCACCACCATAATGGCAGTAGAGGTGGTCTGCCCCAGCGACTAGGTCCCTAATGGACAGAAGACAGTAGAAGCCCCACCCTTGACTCCTCATGACTTTCTGAGACACGGCACTAGTGTTCATGGGGGTGATGGTTAGGAAAGTGTGGGGCAGATCTGAACTTAGGACTGACTGGCCCTAAGCACTGACTGTTCACCCTGCTGGGCTGGCTGTGGCAAGGGCTCCTTCCCTGGGGCCCTGAGCTGCTGGAGGAGGCAGAGGCCAGCCAGGGTGGCCAGGAGCATTTGCTGAGTGGCTTATGCTGAGCTGAGCCGAGCTGTAGGGAGAACCGCCACCCAAGGGTCTTCTCCCCGATCCTCATTCCTCACAGAAGTCCTGGAGGAAGGTATGGGGTCTGCTGTATGCAGGAGGCCCATCAGGCGTGGCACGGCTGGAGAGCTGGGAGGTCCGGGATGGCGGCCCAGGACCAGTAGGTGACAGGTCTGTGGGGCCTGGCCGGCGAGGGGAGCGGCGGGTCATCCGCCTGGCTGACTGCGTTTCCGTGTTGCCGGCTGATGGTGAGAGCTGCCCCCGGGACACTGGTGCCTTCCTGCTTACCACCACGGAGCGAAGCCACCTTCTGGCGGCACAGCACCGCCAAGCATGGATGGGGCCCATCTGCCAGCTGGCCTTCCCGGTAAGCACAGGGTGGGCAGGCGGGGCAGCCAGGGGCCAGCCCAAGGGATCACCTGACGACCCCCTTGTTCGTTTCCATGCTCATTCACATCCTGTCACACAGCAAGTACCTGCCAAGTACCTGTGAGCCTGGGAAACAGCCCAGAATCCCCCAGAACAAATCTCAGAAGGCCATGCATGTATGGAGAAAATGAAAGTCTGGGAGGAGCCAGGAGGGAATAGGGGAAGCCAGGGTGGTCCAGGAAGGCCTCTCAGGAGGAGACAGTGAGCCTGAGTCCTCCAGCACATATAAGAACCCACCAGGCAAAGATCTGAGGAAACAACCCCCCAGACGTTGAGGGGTGAGAAGTGTCCTGAACAGAGGGAACAACACTGGCAAAGGCCTTGTGGTAGGGGAAAAGTTTGGTGTGTTCAAGGGGCAGAAAGAGGGCCAGTATGGCCGGAGGGTAAGGGGTGGCAGGGGCTCAAGAGGAGGCTAAGGTAGGGAGTTGAGTGGAAGCCAGCTGAGACCGCTTTGGGCCATGTGCAGAGTTTTGGGTTTTATTCTGAGAGGAGAAAGCTGAGGGGGTTTGAGCCAGGGACTAAGAGTTTTAAAACTTCATAGTCTATGATGCACTAAAAGGAAATGAATCTGGGAGTTCCTCAAAAACTTCACATAGAGTTAACCTATGACCCAGCAATTCCACTACTAGGTATAAACCCAACAGAATTGAAACAGGTGTTCAAACAAGACTAGTATAAGTATGTTCAATGCAGCATTATTATTAACAATAGCCAAAAGGGGAAAACTGATGAATGGATAAACTAACCGTGGTCTATCTCTACAACAGAACGTTACTTGGCTATAAAAAGGAATGAAGTACTGATACATGCTGCGCCATGGATGGGCCTGGAAAACATTATGCTAAGCACAAAAGGCCACAGATTGCATGATTCCTTTTATGTGAAATACCTAGGATAGGCGAATCCATAGCAACGGAAAGCAGCTAACTTAGTGGTTGCCAGGGGCAGGGGGAGAGAGAATGGGGAGTGGCTGCTAATGGCCACAGGGTTTCCATTTGAAGTGATGAAAAAGTTCTGGAACTAGATAAAAGTGTCGATTGCAGAACCTTGTGACTATATTTTTTAAAAAAAACACTAAATTAAGCACTTTAAAATGGTTAAAATGGTAAAAAAAAAAAATTTTTTTCCTAAAATGGTAAATTTTGTGTTGTATGCTTTACTATCAGTTGTAAACTGTTTTAAAAATAAAGTGAACAGGAGCAAAAAGACCGGCAAGAAAGCCACTGCACATGACCATGGCCATGCTCCTGACCCTGGCTGTGTTCCAGTAGGCCTAGGCTGTGGTGGGGACACTGGGAGTCAGAGCTCCAGGGACTGGGGGGATGAGGGGTGGAGGGGGGAGATGGGAGAGGAGTGAGGGGCACCCCCCCACCGAACTTCTGCCCCTTTACATCTCCAAGCTGTCATGGGGGACTCAGTCAGTGTATGCCTGGCCGAACTCGAGGATGATGGGGGACATCCTCCTGTGTGCCTTTCCAGCTCTCAGCACCCTCAAGGGGGGAGCTAGGGGGTGCACATGGACTCAGAGGGGTACCCAGGGCCCTGCAGTGTGTTAGAGGCAAAACTGGGACTGGAACCCAGGTCCCTGGATGCCCTTGTTTGTCAGGGAGTCCTGGGTTACTGACCCCAGGGAAGGGTGTGGGAAGAGGAGGGGGAGCCCCTGACCTCTGACCTTATCCCATTTGCCAGGGCACAGGGGAGAGTTCCTCAGGATCAGGGGAGGCTGGGGATCCTAAGAGAGGCCTGGTCCCCATGGAGGAGAACTCCATCTACTCCTCCTGGCAAGAAGGTGAGTTGGGGAGGTACAGGGGAAGCCTTGGTCTCACTCCACGCAGGTCTTGGATCTTGGATCTTTGGGGAACCCACGGGGGCTGTGCTTGCTCCCTCATGGTCCTCCCGCCTGCAGTGAGCAAGTTTCCAGTGGTTGTGCAGAGGACCGAGGCTGCCATGCGCTGCCAGCTAAAAGGGCCCTACCTCCTGGTGCTGGGCCAGGATGCCATTCAGTTGAGAGAGCCCTCCAGCCCCCAGGTCCTCTACACCTGGCCCTACCGCTTCCTGCGCAAGTTCGGCTCTGACAAGGTGAGGTGCTGGGTGGCCACCCCACCCCACTGGTCCTGCAGGGAGGAGTGGTGGGTGACGGGCACCCTGGCCTCTCAGCTATGACCTGCCCATGCCACCCCTTCTGCACTCCAGGGTGTGTTCTCCTTTGAAGCTGGCCGCCGTTGTGACTCAGGTGAGGGCTTCTTCGCCTTCAGCAGCCCGCAAGCCCTTGACCTGTGTGGCGTAGTGGCCGCTGCCATCAGCCGCCAGAGGGAGCAGCTACCGGTGCTGGCTGGGCCCCGGCCCTGCCCACTGTTGCGGGCCACCTCCCTGCCCTCACTGGACCCACCCAGTGAGCTGCAGGAGGGACCCCCAGGGCCTGAGCCTCCCAGCTCCCAGAGGGTACTCCTGGCTGAGCCTGGACCCCAGAGCCTGCCGCCACTGCTGGGCACGGAGCCCCTCATCAAGCCAGCGCCCGAGCTCTATGCCTCAGTGTGCAAGAGGGCCAGTGGGCCCCCACGTGTTGCTGAGCACCTCTACGAGAACCTGTGTGTACTGGAGGCAGGCTCTGTTCCCCCCAGCGATGGTGGGCCCGTGCAGGAGGGCCCTAGTGGCCACAGCCCCTTAGCCAGCCCCATCTACCACAACAGCGAGGACCTGGGCTGGCCCGGCCCGGCCCATGACAGCAGCCTGGAAGCCCAATACCGGCGACTGCTGGAGCTGGAGCTGGGCAACAACTACGAGGAGGCTGGAGGTTCTGGCCGCCCCTGCACTCACACGGGCTTCAAGGCCAAGCTGGTGACACTGCTGAGCAGAGAGCGGAAGAAGGGCCCAGTCCCCTGTGACCGGCCCTGAATGTCTTGTGTGGTGTGGCAGCAGGAGGAAAGGAAGGCTCTGTCCCTGGGACAGGAGGGAGGGCAAATAATGGACTAGAGACACAGCCCTGCATCCACCCTGGCCTGTGGGGACAAGGCAGGCAGCCTGGGGAGGGCTCCCCACGTGCCCTGCCAGTCCCCTAGGGTATGGTGTACAGATATACTGGTAATAAAGTCTCCCAGCTCCCCATCCATCTTGTGGCCCACAGTCCACACCTTCTCACCTCAGCTCCTGTCAGTGGCACTCATGGGTCCCCGTGTATACACAGACCCTCACTTCACAGGTGTTGCAGCAAACATCACTGTGGATTACTGTGCTCAGTTCCAGGGACACACATGACTTGGACTTGACCTCTGCCACCAGTGTGCTCAAGTCCCCTTGACCAGATGGGTGGGATGCAGATAATTATGATCCATGTGGTCCTGTGCAGCAGAAATGGCTCAGTCAGGCAGGGGGAGAGGTGAGGCTTGCTGATGGGAGAGGGGCCCTCTGGATTGAGCGTTAAGGGCAGGCAGGGCTTCACCAGGCCGGCAGCAATCCCTGGGGCTTTCTAGGCCAAGGATGGATATGCACAGGCCCAGAGACAAAGAGAAGAGTGTTGTCACAGAATGGCAGTTGGTGGCCAAGCATGAGAGTCCTGACCATCCTGTAATGAACTTGGTCTCATCCTCAGTGGAGGAACACAGTCATGGTGGGGAAGGAGCAGTGTGGACAACAGAAGTGAGGGGGCTACACTGCTGATGGAGAAGCCTGAGCTGGGGAGGAGTGGATGGGTGGGAGAGGAAGGGGCGGGAGGAAGGGACTTCAAAGATGTGCACACCCAAAACTCCTGCTCCCCACTGAGACTCAAATATATGCAGACGCTTCTGGGAAGCTTCAGGCCTCCGTCTCCTCAAATGTCACAGATGAAAGTCAAATTACCTGCCAGGCATACATTCGTTCCTTAAGAGTTTTACCATGTGCTTGGTCCATGCCACACACTGGGGATGCAGCCATGTTCAAGACAGCCCACATTCCAGAGGGAGACAAGCAAGTCTCTTAAAGACTTTAGTGCTCTCATTCTACTGCTGCCACCATCCCTGGAGTCTCCATGAACATAGCATCATATGCCCAAAGACCTGGCCTCCTGGCCCCTTGACCTCAACTCTGCCTCAGCTGCTCACACCCTTGGCACATCCCAAACCTTGTAACAGTGATACTCCCTCTTTGCCACCTTATTTCCAAGCATCCACCTCTTTCTTTCATTCCAGCCCACTTCCTCTAGCATGGCCCATAAAGCTCCTCTCCAGCTACAGTGACCTTTTTCTCACCATCTGTGTGGCCACTGTCCTCAGTTCCATTCTTTTCTGACAGATTCTGTGCTCCACCAACATGGTCAACCCATCACGCTCCCCTTTCCTTCTCTTATTTGTCTGGCAAAGCCCTCGGCGTCGGTAAGCTCAGCTCCCCTCAGCGCTTGCCTCCCAGCAGCTAGCTGCTCACAGCAGAGAAATTCACATCCTCTGGCTGATTGCATTCTCTTTTAACAATATGATCTCAAGTCTCAATGGACAGGCTCTCCAGAGAGACTGCATGTCCCAGAGTGACTTCTTTCCTCCCCTTCAAGACTTCACATGTTCTCCTCTCTGTCCCTGCCCATCGCACCTCGGAGAGACTCCGGAGAAAGTGCAGCCAACAGAAGCGAACGCCCTGAACCGCCCACCTCCTGTCCAAGTGCCTCAGCACCTGCGCCATCTCCTTCCTGCCCTCCAGGGGGAGCAGTGTTTGCTCCCCAACATGTGCTCCACTCCTAGCACCTCACAGCTGGGCAACCTTTGATCTCACAGTCACCTCAGCCATGTCCCCATTTCTCTGTTCCTCTTCACAGTGAAACTCCTCAAAAGTTGTTGATTACTCTCATTTCCACTTTCTCATCTTCCATTCTCCCTTCCACCAACTCCAGCTCCCGTGGTCCTGCTACTCCATTACATCACCCTCACCAGGGTCACCAACCTTCTTGTTCGCCAAAACAAAAGCAATTCGGACTGACTTTGTGACCCAGACTCCCTGACAGCCCTCCTTGCACCACTGTCTTTATTTGCTTTTCCTCCTTCCCCATGGCCTGTCCCTCCCAGCCTCTGCTGTCCCCTCCTCTGCCAGCTCTGCCTGGGGCTCTGGCCTCAGACACAGGCTCAATCCTGGTTGTCCACAGAATCACCCTGGAGCTTTTAAAAATGGCCCATGCCTAGGTCCACACCCAGGGGCTGGGATTTCCTCAGTCCCAACAGGGCCTGAGTGCCACTGTCTGCTTTCAGCTTGCCAGCCAGTTGTAATGTGTGCCCAGGGTGGAGAAGCACTGCCTTGAGCAGCTGCTCTGGCCTCCAGCTCTCACAGATCATCTCAATGCTGATGACTCCCCAATGTCTATTTTCAGCATAGACGTCTCCCCTGAGACCCAGGTGTAAGAACCCAACTACACCTAAAAGGCATCTCCAAATGCCACATGTGAAGGGAGGTTGGGGGAAGGGGCTTCCAGGCAGTGCTATCCCATGGTGTCTGCGGCCACAGAGGGCAAAGCCCAGAAGGTTGTTAGAGCCACAGGGAGGCAGAGTTCAGAGCCACTTTGGAAGCTCCTCCTGATGGACAAAGTCTTCCCATGATCCATCAGGCTGCCTGCCAGAGAGCAAGCTGAGGCCAGGAGGCTCTCAGGGTGGTTGCAGCAGGGCCCATCCGCCCCATGGGGGCAACCCAGCCCTTGCCAGCTCTGCAAATCCCAGGACACAGTGGAGATTACCCAGAGAGTCAGGGTCATGATCAGAACTGGGTCCCTGCTTTCTTATTATAAATCTAAGTCTAGCATGCTTTCTTATTATAAATCTAAGTCTCTTTGTTTCATTTTGTGAGGTTCTAATGAGATGGTGAAAGAGAAAGTCTTCAGAAATTCCAAGACTCTGAGCACCTTGCCCTGGAGCTGCAGGTGTCCTAGACACCAGGGGGCACTGCATCCTATTCTGGGGCCTGTTCCTACCCAGGAGCTGCCTATGCTGGGAGCTCTGGTGGTTCCATACAGGCCTGAGCCTTGCAAGGGCCTAAAGAATGGGACTGTGGGGTCCTCTCTGCTGGAGGACTACCAGGACCCCAGGCTGCCCTTCTTCCTTTGCTCATTTGCTAGTTCACCTACTCAATCCTTCTTTGAACTGCTCATTCACATCCACTGTGTGCAGGCACTGGGGAAATGGTGGACAAGACACACAAGTCTCTGCTCCCATGGGACTAATATTCCAACGGGGACAAAGGGCAGTGAAGAAACAAACAGTATAATGTCGGATGGTGGTAAATGCTATGGGGAGAAACAAAGCAGGGTAAGGGACTAGTGCATGATGTGGGTGAGGTGTCAAGGGGCTGCTGTTTTAGCTAAGGTGATCAGGGAAGGCCCCTTGGANGCTGATGGTGAGAGCTGCCCCCGGGACACTGGTGCCTTCCTGCTTACCACCACGGAGCGAAGCCACCTTCTGGCGGCACAGCACCGCCAAGCATGGATGGGGCCCATCTGCCAGCTGGCCTTCCCGGTAAGCACAGGGTGGGCAGGCGGGGCAGCCAGGGGCCAGCCCAAGGGATCACCTGACGACCCCCTTGTTCATTTCCATGCTCATTCACATCCTGTCACACAGCAAGTACCTGCCAAGTACCTGTGAGCCTGGGAAACAGCCCAGAATCCCCCAGAACAAATCTCAGAAGGCCATGCATGTATGGAGAAAATGAAAGTCTGGGAGGAGCCAGGAGGGAATAGGGGAAGCCAGGGTGGTCCAGGAAGGCCTCTCAGGAGGAGACAGTGAGCCTGAGTCCTCCAGCACATATAAGAACCCACCAGGCAAAGATCTGAGGAAACAACCCCCCAGACGTTGAGGGGTGAGAAGTGTCCTGAACAGAGGGAACAACACTGGCAAAGGCCTTGTGGTAGGGGAAAAGTTTGGTGTGTTCAAGGGGCAGAAAGAGGGCCAGTATGGCCGGAGGGTAAGGGGTGGCAGGGGCTCAAGAGGAGGCTAAGGTAGGGAGTTGAGTGGAAGCCAGCTGAGACCGCTTTGGGCCATGTGCAGAGTTTTGGGTTTTATTCTGAGAGGAGAAAGCTGAGGGGGTTTGAGCCAGGGACTAAGAGTTTTAAAACTTCATAGTCTATGATGCACTAAAAGGAAATGAATCTGGGAGTTCCTCAAAAACTTCACATAGAGTTAACCTATGACCCAGCAATTCCACTACTAGGTATAAACCCAACAGAATTGAAACAGGTGTTCAAACAAGACTAGTATAAGTATGTTCAATGCAGCATTATTATTAACAATAGCCAAAAGGGGAAAACTGATGAATGGATAAACTAACCGTGGTCTATCTCTACAACAGAACGTTACTTGGCTATAAAAAGGAATGAAGTACTGATACATGCTGCGCCATGGATGGGCCTGGAAAACATTATGCTAAGCACAAAAGGCCACAGATTGCATGATTCCTTTTATGTGAAATACCTAGGATAGGCGAATCCATAGCAACGGAAAGCAGCTAACTTAGTGGTTGCCAGGGGCAGGGGGAGAGAGAATGGGGAGTGGCTGCTAATGGCCACAGGGTTTCCATTTGAAGTGATGAAAAAGTTCTGGAACTAGATAAAAGTGTCGATTGCAGAACCTTGTGACTATATTTTTTAAAAAAAACACTAAATTAAGCACTTTAAAATGGTTAAAATGGTAAAAAAAAAAAATTTTTTTCCTAAAATGGTAAATTTTGTGTTGTATGCTTTACTATCAGTTGTAAACTGTTTTAAAAATAAAGTGAACAGGAGCAAAAAGACCGGCAAGAAAGCCACTGCACATGACCATGGCCATGCTCCTGACCCTGGCTGTGTTCCAGTAGGCCTAGGCTGTGGTGGGGACACTGGGAGTCAGAGCTCCAGGGACTGGGGGGATGAGGGGTGGAGGGGGGAGATGGGAGAGGAGTGAGGGGCACCCCCCCACCGAACTTCTGCCCCTTTACATCTCCAAGCTGTCATGGGGGACTCAGTCAGTGTATGCCTGGCCGAACTCGAGGATGATGGGGGACATCCTCCTGTGTGCCTTTCCAGCTCTCAGCACCCTCAAGGGGGGAGCTAGGGGGTGCACATGGACTCAGAGGGGTACCCAGGGCCCTGCAGTGTGTTAGAGGCAAAACTGGGACTGGAACCCAGGTCCCTGGATGCCCTTGTTTGTCAGGGAGTCCTGGGTTACTGACCCCAGGGAAGGGTGTGGGAAGAGGAGGGGGAGCCCCTGACCTCTGACCTTATCCCATTTGCCAGGGCACAGGGGAGAGTTCCTCAGGATCAGGGGAGGCTGGGGATCCTAAGAGAGGCCTGGTCCCCATGGAGGAGAACTCCATCTACTCCTCCTGGCAAGAAGGTGAGTTGGGGAGGTACAGGGGAAGCCTTGGTCTCACTCCACGCAGGTCTTGGATCTTGGATCTTTGGGGAACCCACGGGGGCTGTGCTTGCTCCCTCATGGTCCTCCCGCCTGCAGTGAGCAAGTTTCCAGTGGTTGTGCAGAGGACCGAGGCTGCCATGCGCTGCCAGCTAAAAGGGCCCTACCTCCTGGTGCTGGGCCAGGATGCCATTCAGTTGAGAGAGCCCTCCAGCCCCCAGGTCCTCTACACCTGGCCCTACCGCTTCCTGCGCAAGTTCGGCTCTGACAAGGTGAGGTGCTGGGTGGCCACCCCACCCCACTGGTCCTGCAGGGAGGAGTGGTGGGTGACGGGCACCCTGGCCTCTCAGCTATGACCTGCCCATGCCACCCCTTCTGCACTCCAGGGTGTGTTCTCCTTTGAAGCTGGCCGCCGTTGTGACTCAGGTGAGGGCTTCTTCGCCTTCAGCAGCCCGCAAGCCCTTGACCTGTGTGGCGTAGTGGCCGCTGCCATCAGCCGCCAGAGGGAGCAGCTACCGGTGCTGGCTGGGCCCCGGCCCTGCCCACTGTTGCGGGCCACCTCCCTGCCCTCACTGGACCCACCCAGTGAGCTGCAGGAGGGACCCCCAGGGCCTGAGCCTCCCAGCTCCCAGAGGGTACTCCTGGCTGAGCCTGGACCCCAGAGCCTGCCGCCACTGCTGGGCACGGAGCCCCTCATCAAGCCAGCGCCCGAGCTCTATGCCTCAGTGTGCAAGAGGGCCAGTGGGCCCCCACGTGTTGCTGAGCACCTCTACGAGAACCTGTGTGTACTGGAGGCAGGCTCTGTTCCCCCCAGCGATGGTGGGCCCGTGCAGGAGGGCCCTAGTGGCCACAGCCCCTTAGCCAGCCCCATCTACCACAACAGCGAGGACCTGGGCTGGCCCGGCCCGGCCCATGACAGCAGCCTGGAAGCCCAATACCGGCGACTGCTGGAGCTGGAGCTGGGCAACAACTACGAGGAGGCTGGAGGTTCTGGCCGCCCCTGCACTCACACGGGCTTCAAGGCCAAGCTGGTGACACTGCTGAGCAGAGAGCGGAAGAAGGGCCCAGTCCCCTGTGACCGGCCCTGAATGTCTTGTGTGGTGTGGCAGCAGGAGGAAAGGAAGGCTCTGTCCCTGGGACAGGAGGGAGGGCAAATAATGGACTAGAGACACAGCCCTGCATCCACCCTGGCCTGTGGGGACAAGGCAGGCAGCCTGGGGAGGGCTCCCCACGTGCCCTGCCAGTCCCCTAGGGTATGGTGTACAGATATACTGGTAATAAAGTCTCCCAGCTCCCCATCCATCTTGTGGCCCACAGTCCACACCTTCTCACCTCAGCTCCTGTCAGTGGCACTCATGGGTCCCCGTGTATACACAGACCCTCACTTCACAGGTGTTGCAGCAAACATCACTGTGGATTACTGTGCTCAGTTCCAGGGACACACATGACTTGGACTTGACCTCTGCCACCAGTGTGCTCAAGTCCCCTTGACCAGATGGGTGGGATGCAGATAATTATGATCCATGTGGTCCTGTGCAGCAGAAATGGCTCAGTCAGGCAGGGGGAGAGGTGAGGCTTGCTGATGGGAGAGGGGCCCTCTGGATTGAGCGTTAAGGGCAGGCAGGGCTTCACCAGGCCGGCAGCAATCCCTGGGGCTTTCTAGGCCAAGGATGGATATGCACAGGCCCAGAGACAAAGAGAAGAGTGTTGTCACAGAATGGCAGTTGGTGGCCAAGCATGAGAGTCCTGACCATCCTGTAATGAACTTGGTCTCATCCTCAGTGGAGGAACACAGTCATGGTGGGGAAGGAGCAGTGTGGACAACAGAAGTGAGGGGGCTACACTGCTGATGGAGAAGCCTGAGCTGGGGAGGAGTGGATGGGTGGGAGAGGAAGGGGCGGGAGGAAGGGACTTCAAAGATGTGCACACCCAAAACTCCTGCTCCCCACTGAGACTCAAATATATGCAGACGCTTCTGGGAAGCTTCAGGCCTCCGTCTCCTCAAATGTCACAGATGAAAGTCAAATTACCTGCCAGGCATACATTCGTTCCTTAAGAGTTTTACCATGTGCTTGGTCCATGCCACACACTGGGGATGCAGCCATGTTCAAGACAGCCCACATTCCAGAGGGAGACAAGCAAGTCTCTTAAAGACTTTAGTGCTCTCATTCTACTGCTGCCACCATCCCTGGAGTCTCCATGAACATAGCATCATATGCCCAAAGACCTGGCCTCCTGGCCCCTTGACCTCAACTCTGCCTCAGCTGCTCACACCCTTGGCACATCCCAAACCTTGTAACAGTGATACTCCCTCTTTGCCACCTTATTTCCAAGCATCCACCTCTTTCTTTCATTCCAGCCCACTTCCTCTAGCATGGCCCATAAAGCTCCTCTCCAGCTACAGTGACCTTTTTCTCACCATCTGTGTGGCCACTGTCCTCAGTTCCATTCTTTTCTGACAGATTCTGTGCTCCACCAACATGGTCAACCCATCACGCTCCCCTTTCCTTCTCTTATTTGTCTGGCAAAGCCCTCGGCGTCGGTAAGCTCAGCTCCCCTCAGCGCTTGCCTCCCAGCAGCTAGCTGCTCACAGCAGAGAAATTCACATCCTCTGGCTGATTGCATTCTCTTTTAACAATATGATCTCAAGTCTCAATGGACAGGCTCTCCAGAGAGACTGCATGTCCCAGAGTGACTTCTTTCCTCCCCTTCAAGACTTCACATGTTCTCCTCTCTGTCCCTGCCCATCGCACCTCGGAGAGACTCCGGAGAAAGTGCAGCCAACAGAAGCGAACGCCCTGAACCGCCCACCTCCTGTCCAAGTGCCTCAGCACCTGCGCCATCTCCTTCCTGCCCTCCAGGGGGAGCAGTGTTTGCTCCCCAACATGTGCTCCACTCCTAGCACCTCACAGCTGGGCAACCTTTGATCTCACAGTCACCTCAGCCATGTCCCCATTTCTCTGTTCCTCTTCACAGTGAAACTCCTCAAAAGTTGTTGATTACTCTCATTTCCACTTTCTCATCTTCCATTCTCCCTTCCACCAACTCCAGCTCCCGTGGTCCTGCTACTCCATTACATCACCCTCACCAGGGTCACCAACCTTCTTGTTCGCCAAAACAAAAGCAATTCGGACTGACTTTGTGACCCAGACTCCCTGACAGCCCTCCTTGCACCACTGTCTTTATTTGCTTTTCCTCCTTCCCCATGGCCTGTCCCTCCCAGCCTCTGCTGTCCCCTCCTCTGCCAGCTCTGCCTGGGGCTCTGGCCTCAGACACAGGCTCAATCCTGGTTGTCCACAGAATCACCCTGGAGCTTTTAAAAATGGCCCATGCCTAGGTCCACACCCAGGGGCTGGGATTTCCTCAGTCCCAACAGGGCCTGAGTGCCACTGTCTGCTTTCAGCTTGCCAGCCAGTTGTAATGTGTGCCCAGGGTGGAGAAGCACTGCCTTGAGCAGCTGCTCTGGCCTCCAGCTCTCACAGATCATCTCAATGCTGATGACTCCCCAATGTCTATTTTCAGCATAGACGTCTCCCCTGAGACCCAGGTGTAAGAACCCAACTACACCTAAAAGGCATCTCCAAATGCCACATGTGAAGGGAGGTTGGGGGAAGGGGCTTCCAGGCAGTGCTATCCCATGGTGTCTGCGGCCACAGAGGGCAAAGCCCAGAAGGTTGTTAGAGCCACAGGGAGGCAGAGTTCAGAGCCACTTTGGAAGCTCCTCCTGATGGACAAAGTCTTCCCATGATCCATCAGGCTGCCTGCCAGAGAGCAAGCTGAGGCCAGGAGGCTCTCAGGGTGGTTGCAGCAGGGCCCATCCGCCCCATGGGGGCAACCCAGCCCTTGCCAGCTCTGCAAATCCCAGGACACAGTGGAGATTACCCAGAGAGTCAGGGTCATGATCAGAACTGGGTCCCTGCTTTCTTATTATAAATCTAAGTCTAGCATGCTTTCTTATTATAAATCTAAGTCTCTTTGTTTCATTTTGTGAGGTTCTAATGAGATGGTGAAAGAGAAAGTCTTCAGAAATTCCAAGACTCTGAGCACCTTGCCCTGGAGCTGCAGGTGTCCTAGACACCAGGGGGCACTGCATCCTATTCTGGGGCCTGTTCCTACCCAGGAGCTGCCTATGCTGGGAGCTCTGGTGGTTCCATACAGGCCTGAGCCTTGCAAGGGCCTAAAGAATGGGACTGTGGGGTCCTCTCTGCTGGAGGACTACCAGGACCCCAGGCTGCCCTTCTTCCTTTGCTCATTTGCTAGTTCACCTACTCAATCCTTCTTTGAACTGCTCATTCACATCCACTGTGTGCAGGCACTGGGGAAATGGTGGACAAGACACACAAGTCTCTGCTCCCATGGGACTAATATTCCAACGGGGACAAAGGGCAGTGAAGAAACAAACAGTATAATGTCGGATGGTGGTAAATGCTATGGGGAGAAACAAAGCAGGGTAAGGGACTAGTGCATGATGTGGGTGAGGTGTCAAGGGGCTGCTGTTTTAGCTAAGGTGATCAGGGAAGGCCCCTTGGAGGAGACAACAGCTGAGCAGAGACCTGAACAAAGTGGGAGAGCCTGTTGTTTAGATATCAGGGGGAAAGTGTTCCAAACAGGAGCTGCAAGTGCAAATCTCTGAGGCAGAAATATGCTTGACTTGTTGGAGGAGGCCAGAGTGGCTGGAGTGGAGTGAGTAAGGGGAAAAGTGGGAGGAGGACCCAGCTTATTAGTGCCATATATATCTTAAGGACATTGGAGTTTTATTTTAAGTGCAACAAGAAGCCTACTGGAATGCTTAAAGCTGAGGGTGGTGTGATTTTTGCTTTAAAAATATAACTTTGGCTGCTGCATGGAAAAGACTGTGGAGTGGGCAAGAGAGATGTCAGGAGACTGTTAGGGTGTCTAGGCATGAGATGAGTGGCAGGGACAGCACTGGCCGCAGAGACCAGATGTGGAACATATTCTGAAGATGGAATTTGCAAAATCTGGGGTATGAAAGAGAAGAGAAAAGGATAACTTCATAGTTTGTAGTGGACCAGGTGGATGAATGCTGGTGTCATTTACAGAGGTGAAGAAGGATTTAGGAAGGTGGGGAAAGCACTAATTTAAATTAAGACATGATGGTTTGAGATATCTAGTAGACTTCCAAGTAGAGGCTGGACAGCCTCTTGGATATTGGAGTCTGGAGTTCTTCAGGGGAGGTCAGAGTTGGACATACAACTTGGGAGTCCTTGCCATGTGGGTGTTATTTATAGCCACTGGGCAGGATGGGGTCCCAGCTAGTGAATGCAGACAGGCAAGATCTGTTGGCCATGCTGCAAGGCAGAAGAGGAGCTGCCAAAAGAGATGGAGAGGGAGGAAGCAATGGGGCAGAGGGAGGCATGAAGCCAGGGAAAGAGGCACCAGTCCTGCTCTCAGGCAGGGTGAAAGAGAAGCTGAGAACCCTGCATTGATTTGATAACCTGGAGGTCATTGGAGAACCATAGGATTGGTGGAAACAACAGCCTGACCAGAGCGGGTTCAAGAGAGAACAGAAAACAAGTGGAGACAGGGCAACAGACAACACTTTTTGCAGAATTTTACTCTCCAGAGGAGTGGGATGAAAGAGCAATAGCTGGAGAGAGAATTGGGGTCAAGAGAGGATTTCTGCAAAGACGAGAACTCTCACAGCAGTTTGTGTAGTGAGGGGAATGAGGCAGAACAAGGGGAATGTTAATGACGGCAGAGGTGGGAGAAGGGCATCCATGCCTTCTTAAGAGCTGAGGGGTGGACGTCTATGCACTCACCCACACATTCCCGTCCCTGTTCAAATTCCCCCGCCGCCTAGCCGCCCGGGGTTGAGCGCTAGCGGCAAAGTTGGGACTCTGACATTACCGCTAGAGTCCTCCAGTTACACTCACAGTGGAGGCGCTGCCCGCTCTGCCATGGGGTACAAGGCCACAGCCCATCTCGACAGTGTGTGGTTGATGCTGAGCAGGGGTGGCTGGCAGCCAGCTGCTGAATGCCGGAGGTTAGAGGGTGGAAGTGACGGCTCAGATCCTGACCCCACCTCAACTAACCCCACCTCCGCGTGTCCCCTTCAAGTCCCTCCGTCGTCCATTTAGAAATTCTGGAGCCGTGGATGGCTGCACATTACGCCAAACAATGCCTCCTCACAGCGGTCCAACGAGGTATTACTGTCCTATTTTTCCAAGGAGGAAACAGGTTCGGAAAGTGCAGGTCTGTTCCCTTTCCAAAGCCACTTTCTTTCCCCTTAGCCAGTGGGAGGAGAAAGGCGCTGGACGAGCGGCAAGCGGACCAGCCATGCGCTACATCCCCATCCCACAGCCAGGTCCCCGCCCAGACTCCGCGCAGACCCCGCCCACCGCCTTCCAGCTCAAAGTGAGATTGAGCGGGGCGAGAGGATTGGGTGGGGCTTCCAACCAGCAAAGACACCGCCCGTGGGCGTGACTTAAATGGGGCGTGGCCTAAGTCTCCACCCCGCTTCAGCCGCCTCAAAGGGGACGGTGGCCGCGGGGGCGGGATCAGAGCACTGGCATCCGATCCCTACGCTGTTCTTGGAACCTGCCGCCTAGCAGCGCCCCACCGGGGCCGAGCAGGTACAGGCGACCGGGTGGGTGTCTCGGACTGGGCCACGCTGGGGACAGGAGCCTGCTGGGAACCACAGAGGGCATTGGGGATTGTGGCTAACGCTGCGCTTTCTCCCATGGGCCCGGGCCCCTGTCTCCGCCTCCGCCTTCCTACGGCTAAGCCGGCTGCGGCGGGGCCGACTGGCGCCTGCGCCGCTTCCTGCGCTCAGGACTTGGCCAGTGCATGGGGCCTGGGCGGGGGCTCAGGGGGAAACTGAGTCACGCCGGGATGGAAGCAGGCCTGTGTAGGAGGCACCATCCCCGTGGGCTCCAGAACGAATCCCCTTCCTGGCTACGCTTTGGGGTCCTAGGCCCCACCGATCAACATTGTGGCCGCGGCACCGCCCGGTACCCTCCAGGGCCCAGGGGTCGGTCCGAGGCGCCGAGCAGCCTCACCCACCCGGAATGGCTAGGACCCGCTCCAGCCGCCTCCCTTCACTGTCTTCCCACCCCTCCCCCTCGCGTCCCGAGCCCCCGTGTGCTCCCTCCGCTGACTCTCCGCACAGTGTCAGCTTACACGCCTTATATAGTCCGAGCAGGCTCCAGCCGCGGCCTGCCTGCCGGGACCTGGGGGCGGGGGAGAGGAGCGCCGGCCCCTGACTCACCTCGCCTTTTCTCAAAGGCTCAAGGGTGGCTTGGGGGGAGGCTGTGCCAAATCAGACTTGTGGCTCACTCCCGGATGAGAAGAACCTTAAGATAGGATGTGGGGTCTCCTCACTGTCCCAGTCCCTGTCTTTGCAAAATGTGGTCTGCCATTCAGCAGCTCAGCAAACCTGACAAGGTGCCCGCCTACCCATGCCCTGGGTGTGCTCAGCGTCTCCCAGGTGCCTGCTTGGCACCAGCCCAGATTAGTGTCCAGAGCTGGGCCCGTCTGTGCACCCACCATGCCAGTCACTCACTTTTTTCTCTTTTCAGGAGCAGGCACCATGGATTCCTTTAAGGTGATACTAGAGGGGCCTGCACCTTGGGGCTTCCGGCTGCAGGGGGGCAAGGACTTCAATGTGCCCCTCTCCATCTCCCGGGTGAGCCTAGGTTGGGGTAGGGGTGCCCCCAGGAATCTTTGGGTGCTCAGGTGTGTCCGATGGTGGGTGTTGGGAATCCCGAGTCTGAGTGGGAGTGAGCCAGGTGTAATAGACCAGGAGGTGCCCAGGCCCAGAGAGGTGGGCACCTGCGACAAGGACTCCCAACCAGGTGGATACTGAGAAAGGAGCAGCCTCTACACTTCCCCAGCAGGACACTGTATCTGATACCATCCCACAGAGCTCCTGAGGCACGCACCTCTGATTCCCTGGGGGAATCTCATTCTGCAGGAGAGGAGCCTGAGGTCCTCAGGAAGTGTCTAAGCTGCTTGAAGGAGGAATGTTTGGAGCCAGGCCCCAGGCAGGGCACTCTGATTGCAAGATCTCACTTCAGCCTCATTGGCATCTAAGGAATAGCAATTGTCATCCTGTTTTTCCAGAGAGGGAACCCAGGGCTCCGAGATCTAGAAGGGCTCCTTCAGAGATTCCATTGCAAAGCAGGGATTTGAATTCAGGCACTGGGATGGCCTACAGTTTTCAGGAGTAGAAGGTGGGGTTGTCTCCAGCCAAAGGAAGACCTCTATCCTATCCACTGGTCCCATTCAAGTTGTAGTGGCCTACAGTGATGTGGGCCTGGGCTCTAGGGCTCTGACTTCAGCTCCTGAGAGTCTTTCTGCCCTTGTGGGGGTGGAGCTGGGGGCTGGCTCCTCCCTGTGGCAGGGGGATTGCCTTATAAGCGCAAGAATGCAGCCCCACACTGGGATGACCAACTGGTGGCAGGAGTCTGAGCTGAAAAAGGCTGGCCTGGGCCTGAATCCCTGAACCCCATTGGTGGGCCCCTTCAGCTGCTGGCCATGAGGCCATGGCTCCAGCTCTAGGGTCAGTTGTGGGACACAAAGAACAAACTACCTACCCAGGGAGGGTGAGGCCAGTCCTTGGGCTGGTGTCTCTTATTGTGGCCTGAGGGTCAGGAGGGGGCAGGGACTTCCTGCTCCCACATCTGTCTGCTCAGAGAGGTTCACCCAGGCACCTGGTAGGCAGGCAGCTGTTGGAAGCCTAGGGCAAGCTCTGCTTAGAGGGGGCCAAAAGGTTGTCCAGGCACTGCCCATCCTGAGAGGGGCCCAGGGCGGAGTCTGTGGAAGTTGGGCTTGGTGACCAGGGCAGGCAGCAGTTACTATTCTTCCCAGTGACCTTTCCATGGGGTTCCCCTAGAAACTGTACCCCTGCTGGGTAGCTAAGGGCAGTGGTCCCCCTTCCATACCTACCCACCCCTACACAGTTCTCAAGCCTTACCAGCCCTGAAAACCTATCCTGTATCTCCCTCCTTGGGAAAGTGCTGGCCGTTGTGACTTGGGGGCCAGAGGCTTTGACCAACCCAACTCCTGTCTTCGCTGGTGGGGATGGGCAACATAATGGCAGGGGGATGAGGTGGGGGTTTGGGGTGGGGGGATTGTATTTTCAAATGTGGCCTGTTGGGGGCACTCTGGGCCTAAGCTCCCCAGTAGGCAGCACCAGCTGTGGGTGGGGCCACCAGCTGAGCCCAGCCCTGAAGTTGGAGCTAGGCCCCTGGTGAGAGGGTGGGCTGCTGGGCCAGGGGGCTGGCAGGGTGATCTTTTTCCCTCGCTGGGCAGGCCCTTCCCTCTCCCCTGACCCCAGCATGGAGCAGGGAGGGAGGGGCTAGGGCTGGCTGAGGGCCTTGGCTGGGAGATGAGGTAATGTCTGGGACTTGGGGGTTGGGCTGCTCAGTAGAGCTCTTGGGCTGACTCACCCCCACCCCATGCAGTATCCAGCCCCCTGGCTTTTCCCCTTGGTCCCTCAGGCCTCCCTGATCTCTCCAGTCACTCCCCCAGAGCTTCTCCTGCTTTGCTATAACTCTCTGACCACTGTTCTGTTCCTCAGGTGCTTCCTGTCTTTCTAGATACTCGGGAAAGGAAGTGGTCCACAATTTCCCAACCCCTCTCCAGGACCCAGCTGCTCCTGTCCACGCCAAGGCTCCCACCTCAGGCTCGGCTCCCAGGAGCTAGCCCATGTGGGTAGGGAGTGGCTGGACCAGCTTTCCCTTCTTCTGACTCACCATGATCTCAACTAAGTCATTTCCTCTCAAGGGCGTCACTTCCCCATGCCCATTATAAGGGGTTGTTGGATTGAACTAAAGGTGAGATAGGAGATACAGGCCCCAAACCTAACCAGGGGTTCAAAGATTCATTCTAGTTAGGCTAACCTCTGAGCTGTGCCATAACACTCAGCACAGGTGGCCTGGTGTAGGGGAGCCTTAGGGTCAGGGTCAAAACTGGCCTTGCCACTTAGTAGGGCAGCTTTAGAGAAGTTACTTCATCTCTCTGTTTTCCCATGTACAAAATGGGTATAATCCCAGACTCTACTCCACAGGGCTGTGGAGGATTCAGTGTCAGTATCTGGCACTGCTAGGTGCTTAATAATGTAAGCTGCTATTCTTAGAGGGTGCTGAAGAAGGAACCACCCTGTCTTACCCTTCCAGTCTCCCAAACATGAAACAGATGTCAAACCCAGCTCTCCCTTATTGCCCCAGTGCTGCCAGTCTCTGTGTCTGGTCCCTCTGCCCTCTGCTATCTCCCTGGAACCTCTTGCCTCTCCTCTCCCTGCCTCAACTCAGTCCGTGTACCAGCCCACTTGAGGAGCCTCCTGCAGCCATGGACAGCCTCTATCTCCCAGACCTTCCTTGCCTGGCGTGTGAATTGTAAATCTGCGTTCCACCACTGCCCCACAGAAGTCTGCTCGGGGCCAGGCCCCTTGCCTTGCCGGATAGACGGCAGCCCTGTGAGCTTAGACCCATGAACAGGAGTGCCGCCCTTTCTGGGTTCCTGCCACTGGGCTAGAGGGCTGGGAGGGCCCTATGGGGTTTGTCAGGGTCGCCTCTGTTGGAATTCTGGGAAATGGCCCACTCTGGGCCTTCAAACTGCTTATGGCCCACTTAACATCAAGGCCAAGTCCTGGTTCCTTCTGGCATTCAAGACTCAAAAAGGACTCTCACTCCTTAGGTAGCACCTCCCACTCTATTTACCAAGACCCACCTCTTCCCAGAAGCCATCCCTGATGGTCTCAGCTCATGCTGGTAGTGACCATTCCTTCCAGCTTACTATTTCCCCTCTAATCGCAGGAAGCAGTGATTCCCAGCTCAAAGCCCTGTGGGGGAGAGGGTGTTACGGCAATTGAAAGCTTTAGAGTAACACTCATTTACAGCCTATGAAGCCCCACTTGACACCTTGGGCCCCTTCAGGCACTGTTCACTGGGAACCTGGAGATGATGGAGCCTGTTCCTAGCTCTCAAAGGGTCCTGGCAGCTCTCTGCAGTTGGCCCCAGGACAGGGTGCTGGGAGTGTGAAAGGTCAGTGTGAGCATCTAGTAGTGTCAGGGAGGAACTTGCACAAGCCAGAGGGTGAGTGGAACAGGGCAAGAGGCCGGCAGGGAACCTCAAAAGACTGTGGTTGGAGCTGAAAAGCTTGGGGTTCAGCCTAGTGGAGACTGTTTGTTGGCATCAGCAGTTTCTAGACAGTGGGGTGGATCATGGAAGTGAATAAATAAGCAAGGTGTTTGGGTGATCATGAAGCTCAGGAGAACCCCACCCCTTCCAGGTCACTTTAGCATCCAACAGCTGCCCGGAAACATGTTGAAAGAAGAGGTCTCTGGGTTCTGGAAGTGGGGCAGCTTAAGCAGGGTTGACTATTGCTGGCCTCAGTTTAGTCTGCAGTCTTGGGCCTCCGTGACCGTCCATCTCTCCGTAGCTTACTCCCGGAGGTAAAGCTGCACAGGCCGGTGTGGCTGTGGGTGACTGGGTACTGAACATCGATGGTGAGAATGCTGGGGGCCTCACGCACATTGAGGCCCAGAACAAGATCCGTGCCTGCGGGGAGCGCCTCAGCCTGGGTCTCAGCAGGTCCGTGGCCACTGGGCTGCCAAGAGGGTGGGGTGCCCTCAGGCCTGGCCTGCTATCTGTCATCCCTTCTCCTCCTCCAGGGCCCAGCCTTCTCAGAGCAAACAGCAGAAGGTAGATGATGGATGGGTCTGGGACATCTGGGCGGCGGGCGGGATAGGAGTGGACGTCGGCTCCCTTAGTGCAGCTTCGGTACCCCCATCCCTGGCTAGAAATAGGGGGTGGAAGCCGAAGCTGGGGAGGGTCGGGGAAAGTGGAGTTAGGCCAGGGGCTGCCGCACGGTCCGGACACTTGGCATGTCTGTCTCTGTCTGCCCGCTGCCCCCCGCTGGCCCGTGCTGTAAGCTGCACTCCTCTGCTCTCAACCGTTGGGGTATGAGAGCTGCGCTCCTAAATGGCCCCCGCCCGGTAGCCTCCCGCCAGATGTGCGGGGGCGGGGCTGGAGCGCTGCTGTCCTCTCCGCGCCAGTGAGGCGCCCCGGCCAGCCCAGGTTCCCGCCGCACGCCCTGCACCGCTCTGTCTCCGCCCAGGCACAGGCCCCCGCCGCGGAGTCCCCGCGGTACATCTTTGCACCCAGCGTCTCCCTCAACAAGACGGCCCGGCCCTTTGGGGCGCCCCTGCCCGCTGACAGCGTCCCGCAACACAATGGGTACGTTCGTCTTGCCTGCCCACCGCCCACACCCCTTCGAGCCCCACGTACGCTGCTGTTGCTCATGCGTGTGCACTGCGTCCCGGCGCGTCGGAACCGTGCGGCAGCGACCCCTGGCGGCCGGGCGGGGACCGCAGGCACTGGGCCCTTCCAAGGGTGTGGCTCCGGCCCAGGCGCTGCACTTCTGGGGTCTCTGACTGAGGCGGCCTGCCCCACCGCCTGCGGCCCCGGGTTGGGGTGTGGTGTTGGGCCAACTGAGCCCCAGACACTCAATGCAGCCTTGCCCACAGCTACTCTGACCTCTTGCCATCTTTCTTCTTCCCCGTGTCTGTCCTTTTGTCCCTTTATCTGTCCATCTGTCTTATTTCTTTCACAGGTGCAGACCCCTGACAAGTCAGTGAGCCCCCTCTGCCTGTCCCTCTCTTCCTTTCTTTTGACATTCTGGGCGGTGGCCCCTCCCTACCCTGACTGCCCTGTCCTCTCACTTAACACCCACCCACCCACCCACCCAGCAGGGCCCTGGCCTTGTCCTTCTTCACTCCCATTACCATAGCCCATTTGTACCAAACCCTGGGAGGGGCTGCCCCCACTGTGCGCCCCCAGCATGAGGTTCTGAGCCACACCCTCCCCACAGACAGCCGCTCCGACCGCTGGTCCCAGATGCCAGCAAGCAGCGGCTGACGGAGGACACGGAGGACTGGCGGCCGCGGCCCGGGACAGGACAGTCCCGTTCCTTCCGCATCCTCGCTCACCTCACAGGCACCGAGTTCAGTAAGTACCAGCCCAGGGCAGGGCCGACTCTCCTGCTGGCCCTCAGCCCAGGCCTGGGTTCAGCTGGAGCCCTCTCTGTGCCCTGTGACCCTCCACCAGGGCTCAGGGTTGGGGTGTCTCTCTGTCTTCTCTTGGTCAATGCCTCCCTCTGCCTCTTCAGTGCAAGACCCGGATGAGGAGCATCTGAAGAAATCAAGGTAAAAGAACATGCCGAGCCCTCTCATGCCCTACCTCTCGTTCCAGCCACAGCCCCGCTCCTGCTCCTAAGGATCCCCAGCCAGGACTCCATTCTCCTTCCTTCTTTCCTTTTTCCTGGCACCCTCCTGATGGCAGGGCACCATCCTCCCTCCCTTCCTCCCTTCTATCTCCTCTTTCTTCCACTTCCTCCTCCTTCTCTCTCTGTCCCTCAGGGAAAAGTATGTCCTGGAGCTGCAGAGCCCACACTACACCCGCCTCCGGGACTGGCACCACCAGCGCTCTGCCCACGTGCTCAACATGCAGTCGTAGCTTGGCCCTCACCTGCCAGCTGCCCTCTCTGCTTCTCTCTTTCCATATTTCTCTTGCCCAGGGCACCCACCTTGGTGCCTCCAGCTTCTGCCTACCTCACCACCCCTTTCCTACCCCTGGACTGAGCTTCCTGCTAGGCTGGCACACGGTCTGGCTCCGTCTGACACTGCCTTCCCTCTTTGCCCTATGGTACTGCTGACTGCCTGGTCTGTGCTGGCTTGGGCATGGAAATAAACATTCTCAGCCCTGCTTTCTCTGCCTCTGTCTTCTATCTTTGTGGGCTTGGTTTGCCTTTTGGGCTTAGGGATGTTAGGTGGTTAAGACCCAGTGTGGGCACTGCCAGTCTGGGTCTTAGTGGGAGGCAGTACCTGGTCCAGGGTGCCCTGCCATCAGAGCTGGATCTCTGGGGTGAGGAAGCCCTAAGAGCTGCCCAGAAGCAAGAGCCCTGCTCTACCTCCCAGTCCCATACAACAGGCCAGCCAGCTGGAACCTGGCTAGGAGAAGCTGCCCTACCCATCCCTACCCCAGTGGGACCTGGAATCCAACCCAGCAGCTCTCATATACCCAGGCATCTCCCGTGGGGCAAGCAGGATCAAGGTTGGGGGGTGGAGCCATGCCAGGAACCTCAGCTATACAGGGCCTTGAATGGCAGATCTTACAGCCAGGTGCCCAGGACAGAAGCCCCAGCCCCAGCTTCAGCTACACCCCAGGACCCCTGGCCTGGTGAGAGAATGGGCTTGCTTATGGGGAAAGGGAAAGGTGGGTAGTTTCCAGGGGCTTGGGGGTGGTGGGCCCCTCCAAGCTGCCCTGGCACTACCCCCATCCTGTGGGGTCACTGGGTACCCTCTGGAGATAATTTCCTTGGCCCTGGCAGGCCCTACCACCCCTAGCCCCACTAGCCGCCCACCCTGGGCTGTGGACCCTGCATTTGCTGAGCGCTACGCCCCGGACAAGACAAGCACGGTGCTGACCCGGCACAGCCAGCCAGCCACACCCACACCTCTGCAGAACCGCACCTCCATCGTGCAGGCAGCCTCTGGAGGGGGCACAGGAGCGGGTGGTGGCAGCAATGGCAAGACTCCTGTATGCCACCAGTGCCACAAGGTCATCCGGTGGGTGGCCCTGTTCCTTTCCTACCCTGGCCTTTCCTGTCTGGGAATCTGGCCCTGGCATCTTTCCGATTACTACTCTCCCATTAGTCTTCCCACTGATCTCAGCTGCCACTGCAAGAGAATAAGGATTCAGTTGCTAGTTGGAACTGAGGGAGGGACCTAGCCTGGGTCTTCAGATTCTGAATCCCACGTTACCTCCGCCCACCCCACCCTACATGGTCTCCATCAGTGTTGCCCTGGTGAGATTGAAGAAGTGTGTCAAGGATGTCTGCTGCTCCCTGGGCAAGGAAGGGCCTGCCCCCTCCTAGCCCCGCTGCCTCTGTCCTGCTTATTTGGTTTCTGCTCTAAAAGTAGGCCGGCCAGAGGCCCCTTCCTCTCTGCGCTGCTCCCTGGGGTCCAGCAGGGTTACACAGTGCCCTCCAGAGTCAGTGTGCCAAATTCTAGAGCCTTCCTACTTCTCGGCCCCAGCCCTGCCCTGCTTTTAACTCGTGCCAACTCTTAGGCTCTGCAAAGCACACCCTCCTTCAGACACCCCCATTTACCTGGGACCTCCAGGCCCCTGCCCAAGTGAGATGGAATAGCCAAGCAGAACCCAAATGGGCACCAGGGTTGGCTCAGGTGCCCCTGATCTGCAAGGCCCGAGGGTACTCTGGGCCTCCCACCCCCATTTCCTCTGGTTTGTCTCATTAGTCCCCACCCAGTGCAGCCCTCCTCCCTGTTCCAGCACTGCCCCTGTCCCTCATCTCCTTTCATTAAAGCAGTGCAGCTTCATTATTCTTGCTCTGTGACATTGGGCAAACCTATTTTCTCCCGTTTGGTAATTGGGGAGAACGAACTTTCCCTTCAAGGCTTCAGAATAGATGCTCAGTGAACCCACTTGGGCTATGGCCAGAAGCCCCAGCCACATTTGCATACACTTCCTCTCACTGCTCTGCCTCCCCCTCAGGGGCCGTTATCTGGTGGCACTGGGCCATGCATACCACCCCGAGGAGTTTGTGTGCAGCCAGTGTGGAAAGGTTCTGGAAGAGGGCGGCTTCTTTGAGGAGAAGGGTGCCATCTTCTGCCCCTCCTGCTATGATGTGCGCTATGCACCCAGCTGTGCCAAGTGCAAGAAGAAGATCACAGGCGTGAGTGGGGCTGGTGGGCGGGTGAGAAGGTGAGCTCGACCCTGAGCGTCAAGCACCTCCTGGGCCTGGGGGCTCTCCCTGGCTGCGCTGTTGATGTCTCTGTACATTAGCCAGGGTCCTCTTAGTAAATGTCCAAAATCCTCCTCAGAGGGGCTCAAGCAAGCAAGAGTGTACAGGTTTCCCTTGCTATCTGAAAGTAGAGCCTTCCTGTGAAATCTTTTTAAGCTGAAATGGTGTAAAGCAAAAGAAGCGATTACCATTAATTTATACGGAAAAACTTTTGAGCCTTCCCAGACCAGGAAAATAACCTCTCTTAGGCTTTTCCCATACCTTAGGACACATAATGGCTATACAAAATAAATCGAGAGAAAGCGCAGATGCTCACACAGTTTGAAGCTCTGGCGGCTTGATGCTGAGAGGCTGAGGTTGGTTCCCGGGGAAGGAGCCCAGCGGTGCCACTCTCACTGCTCAGGGTGTGCATGCCTCTAGAAATGCAAAGCAAATGCTGACCACTATTTTTGCTTTTTGTCAGACTTTCTTCAGTTAGCAAAAACAGGTACTAACGTAGGTCTTTTGTAAAAGCAAAGTGGCATAACACAAACTTTGAAAAAGTAGGGGATACCTGTATTGGCTCAAATAATCAGAAAGCCCAAGGGACTAACTTAAGGCCCAGTTGAGTGCAGGTCCCAAGGTTATCAGGATTCTTCTACCTCTCGCCTTTGTTTTCATCTGCATTCGCTTCATTCCCAGCATGATTTTCCCTAGAAAGCAGCAAAGATGGTGCCACAGCGGCTCCAGGGCTACATCTCAGCTTAGCACTACCAAGTGAATGAGAGCGCCTCTGAGCCACTTGATACAGCAGGAGTTCCTGATGCTCCTCGGCCTGGGTTGTGTCACATGCCCATCTCTGAACCAAGCCCTGTGACTCGAATTGGCCAGGCCTGGGTGACACCCATTCCTGGAGCAGGGATTGGGTGGCCTTGCCTGAATCATAGACTGAGAGTAAGGGAAGACTGGCTCCCCAAAATGAAACTGGCTGCCATGACCCTAAGAAAGAAAGTGAGCGGTGGACAGGCAAGCATGAGAGATGGCAGCTGTCAGTGGGATTGCCTGCAGCTGTGGGAGCAGAAAGCCCCGCTACAGAGATTAAACAGAAGGGGTTATTTACTTCAGTCACAAGAACTCCAGGACTGGAACAGCAGCTCAAGGGTGCCTTTATGTTTTTCCTGTCTTTTGGCTCCAAAATCCTTAGCATGTAGACCTTTGTCTCCAGGCCAACTGTCTCATGGTCTGACTGCCCCAGGCGTTTTATTCTTGTTGCGACAGGAAGGAGAGGGAAGGGGCAAACGGCATTCTTGTAATGAGATGTTTGACCCTGAAAGACAAACCAGGAACCTGCCCCTTTATCTCAGTGGTTGAAATTGCTAGACTGTGAGCAGCTGGACCACAGGGGAGGCTGGCAAACCCAGTATTTTAGCCTCCATCCCCCTTAAGGAAGGAAGGGAAAAGGGTTGTAACAGGCTTTGGAGAGACTAATCCACCCACATGTCGGCCGTTCCTCATGCGTGAGAACACAGAAACCCTGAAGGATAGCTCCTTTGCCTGAAGGGCACAGGACTATTGAGTGGCAAAACCAGACATTCAGATTCAAAAACTTGTGATTCAAAATCCTATTCTTCCCACTGAGGCTGAACATTGGACATAGCCTGGCCAGGTTTCCTGTGGCGAAACCTGACTGCCAACTGGAGCTCCGCTTGGGACTTGAGTCAGTGTGTGTCACGAACTGTGAGGTCAGTTTGGTTATTCCCCTTACAGATGAAAGAATTTTGCCCAAGATCCATCATTTTCCTGCCAGTTTAGGCCACACCCATCAGAATGTTGTAGTGGAATGGGCTGGATCCCAGCACCTGTCTTGAGCTGGATCTGCTTCCACAGATCAAGGCCCTACTGTTCGGTGACCTCTCTGAGTAGGAAGTAGCTTGGAAACGGATCAAGAAGAGTGCCCCAAGCAGAGGGGATGGCTTATGTCACAAGGCAGCAGTTGGGAAGGGTGTGAGATGAGGCTGAGGAGGTGGGCAAGGGCTGTGCTGGGAGTCTGGAGCTGGGATCTGGTGAGGCCAGGTGTGCGGTGAGCCGCAGCAAGCTTTCTCTAGGGCAGGAGCTGGAGGCCCAGCTGGAGAAGAGGCGCAGGCTGCTGCAGCCCAGGTCAGGGCAGTGGGGACGGGAAAGGCAGGCAGAGTTAGGGAACTTTAGCAGGTAAAACAGACATCAATAACTGGCTCACAGGTTCTTCTGAGCTCTTGCTGACGGCGCCATGCCCAGCTCTGGCGTCCTCACGCTCCTGCCCAAGCCCTGTCCTACCAGCTTGTGGCCAGGCTCCTTCCCTGAGCGCTCTGACTGCTCCTTGAAAAGAGGCATACCAGGCAGAGGGAAGAACCAGCTGTGGGGTCAGCTGGACTTGGACACAAAGCCCACTTTTCAAATCTGTTCAAATCTAGTCACAATAAGTGACTAGAGCAAGTCACTGTCTCTGGGACTCACTAAAATGGAGGTGGCAGTAACTCCCTCACCAGGATGTTTGTGAGGCATATGTGGGATGTGACACGGATGTTGTAGACGGCACAGATGGGCCATCTGAGAGCTAGGTGCACTATCTCAAAAAATCAGGAGATTTCACTTTAACACCTAGAATTCCATCTTCACCTTACGAACATTCCTGAGCATCAACACTGCCCCTACTGGCAGGCACTAGGCCTGGGACTCCCAGCTTCAAGCGCAGGGCAGTCCTCACAACAACCCTGCAAGGCTGGGATTAGGTTCCCATTTCACAAGGGAAGGAACCAAGTGCCAAGAGATGGTAAAGGTGTTGGCCAAGTCACCCAACTAAGAAGCAAGGTCAGGCTGAACCCACGGATCTGAACCCCCTCCAGGTCCCACACTGACCTCTGCCTGCTCCAGATCCAAATGCTGCTGGTGGGCCCTAGGGTCCCGGGAACCAATCACACAGCCCCTCCCTGGGCCTCTACTGCCTCCCCTCTCCATTGAAGCAGGTTAACTCAGCTCACAAGCATTTATTTACAACCTCTCACAGGGCCAGGCACTGTTGGGATGTATCAGCTGATAGAACAGTTCTTGTTTTTCCTGGACCTTATTTTTGAACAGGAAGGAGAGAAGGGGCAAATGATAAGCAATAGACACAATAAGTAAATTATGTGGTACTGTGTAAGAGAAAAACAGAGTTCAGAGCATTAGGAGCATGTCACTAGGAAGGCAGGTCTATTAGCTGGTGTTGGAGTGGGCCTCACAGGGAAGGTGACATATGAGCAGAAACTTGAGGGGAAGGCTGAGACTTGAAAATGTGCAGCAGAGCAGTCCAGACATGGGACAGCCTAGTGCAGCAACCATGGGCAGGAGGCCATGTGGGGAGAGCAGAGAGGCAGAGGCCAGACCTGCCTGCCTCTGGTCCCTTCTCAGGGCTTTGGCCTTTACTCAGAGAAATATAGAACCGGCAGGGATTCAAGCAGAAGGGTTTGTGGCCTGGCTCAGAGTGACATCAGTCTGTAGGGCTGAGGGAGGAGCTCAGAGGCCAGTTTTGTGCAGTCACCAAGGCCAGATGCCCAGGGCTCACTTCCTGCATCAGGGCAGCCACAAGAGGTCAGAATGTGGATGTGACGCTGCTTGGTGGACCCAACAGGATTTCCTGGCAGACTTGGTGCAGGGTATGAGAGAAAGAGGGGAATCTGGCCTGAGCAGATGGAAGGATGGAGTTGGGGATGGCTATGGGAGGAGTAGGTTTGAGGCATGAAGATTGGGAGCCGACCTTTGGACAAGGCAAGTCTGAGAGGTATAGAGGACATCCACAGGGAGATCGCACAGGTGGAGATACAGTGTGAGAGGGGTGGGGATGGTGAGATGTAACGCTTACTTGGTGAGGAAGAGGGCCCAAGGCCAGCCTTCCTGTGTCCCCAGCTCTGAGAGGAGGGGGCCAAGCCCCCTGGTGACTGTCGCCTCCTCCCAGGAGATCATGCATGCCCTGAAGATGACCTGGCATGTGCATTGCTTCATCTGCGTGGCCTGCAAGACACCCATTCGGAACAGGGCCTTCTACATGGAGGAAGGTGCGCCCTACTGTGAGCGAGGTAGGTGGGTATGCAGGTGAGGGGTGGGGCTGGGGTGAGGGGCTGGTGAGAACCAAGTGCCCCCTCTTCTCTGCCTCCATCCTCAGACTATGAAAAGATGTTTGGCACAAAATGCCGTGGCTGTGACTTCAAGATTGATGCTGGGGACCGCTTTCTGGAGGCCCTGGGCTTCAGCTGGCACGACACATGTTTTGTGTGTGCGGTGAGTGCCTCCCCTCGGACTCGGACTCAGGCTCCCCGCCCCACATCTCGTGTTCTTTGCCAGCTTCCTTTCCACCCCCTGCCTCTGGGGTTCATGAGAGGTTGGGAAGGGGCCTCTTCTGCCACCTCCAAGCCCATGTGACTGGACCTTGGCTGTCCCCAGATATGTCAAATCAACCTGGAAGGAAAGACTTTCTACTCCAAGAAGGACAAGCCCCTCTGCAAGAGCCATGCCTTCTCCCACGTGTGAATCCCTCCCACCCACTGCTGCCTCACCCAGCCCAGCTGCCGGGGTCGGCTGCTTCTTTGAGAGTCATCGCTCCAGACTCCTGGGTAGGGTTGGCAAAGGTCATCCCAACCCCAACTCTTGGCCCAAGCCTGGGGTTTGAGGCACTGCCCTATCCCCTTCTTCTCCTACTCCCCCCACCACCATCACACACCGGTGCTGGCTGCACCGGCTCCTGTTCACCACCAGTGCCACAATAAACCTATGTACAGCTGTGCCCTGTGTGCACTTCCTCCTGTGCATTAGGAAAGGGGATTTGAGGCACATAGCAGGCTGGAGGTTAAGATGGCTTTTTCCAGAATGACCATCTTGGCAGTCCTGTGGTGAGGACATGGAGGGCTCAAGGTCAATAAGAGGAGGAAGTAAGAGGGGATCCATGTGCTGGGCCCAGGCACCCACAGAAGTGGGGGGAGCCTGGTCTGGCCTGGCTTAGAGGCCAGAGAAGAGAAGTTGGGGGTGCATCAGCAAAGATGGGACATGAGAAATGTTAACAGCCAGAGTGAAGGCCCAGAGCTGCCAGCTCCCATCCATGTGGTACGGCAAGCAGTGGGGCTGCAGAGGACAGATTCTAGGTCCTAGGAGGCTACCAGTGCCAGACCAAGGAGTTGGGATTGCCTCCCGATGGCAAGGCTGGGGTGGGGGGGTCAGGGCACAGAGGATTTTGAAACAGTGAAGTAAACAGTTCCGATTCATGGTGTAAAAGATCCCTGGAAGCCATGAGCAGGGTGGCTGGGAGGAGGGAGATGAGGAGGTATAGGAGCCAGGGGAAGGGAGGAGCAGAAAACAGCATGGCAGATGGGAAATCAGCCTAGGGTAGGGGCTTGTGGGATGTAGGGTGAGGAGAGGAAGGATGGCAACTTTGCTGGGCATCTGGGATGTACCAGCTATTGGTGGCATCTCATGTGATCCTCCCAGCCACCCTATGAGCTGTCTGCAGTTACTCTTATTTTATGGATGAAAGTTTAGGGGACCTGACCAAGGTTGCATGCCACTGAGCCACAAGCCAGGCCTGAAGCTGGGTGCGCTGTCCGGAGACCTGAGTGCCACTGAGCACCATTCACCAGCAAGCGTCCCATAGAGACTGGCTTCTGCCGGCTATCTCAAAATCTGGAGGCTCTATCATGGCCCCATCTTTCCCCAGGGCCTCTTGCTTCCCACTGGTGCCCTCTGTCACCCTACAGGGACTGTCACCTCTCCTGTCCGAAGCCTGGATTGGAGAGGGACTGTGGAGAGGGCCCAAATTAGGCCAGGACAACTCAGCATGCCCATAGCCACCTGTGCAAGGCTCCTTGGCATGGAGACCTTGAGCATGCTGAGGTTGTTGGCATTCTCAAGAGGTCCTTGGGCCCATCCTTTTCTAAAGAACAGAAAGGGCTCTCTGTTTTGTTCTCTCGAGGACCCCTGGGGCATGAACACAGGGCCCTGTATTGTTTGCATGTCTTGCAGAGCCTAGAACGGTGCCTGGCACATTGGCCAATGAATGAATGTTGAATGACTCAAGCAGGTGTCTGTGGGACATTTAGGAGACAAATTCAGGGAGCAGCTGAATCAAGTCCAGATTTACCTTGGGATTCCATTCAAGAGTGAGTTTGAGACAGTCTGGAACAGTGATCAGAGGTGCTAGTAATTGATGCCCAGAGAGAACAGGGCCCAGGCAGGTCACATCAGGAGTAAAGCAGGTGGAATATGATTCTCATTCAACCTGGACATCCCCAGCACATCAAAGAGAATCTCACTTCCACAAAGAAATGTTCTCTCTCCCATTTCTCCTGAACCATGAAGCCCTCAATCCATCCTTGGTTTCCATGGTTACAAGCAAGCAAGTGCACAGGGTGGATGGTGATTGCTGCTGGGAACCTTCTGGGCAGAGTCGGGGGCAGCCGCCCTCAGCCTCAACCAAGGGTTATGCGTGGGAATGCCAGGCTTGGCCGGATCTGCCAGTTTACTAACAGTATTCAGAAATTCAGACTTTTATGTCAAATCTGGTTTTTGAATGTTGGCAACTAAAATTTTTAAGCGTCCTATTTAAAAAAATAATAAATATGGTCAAATTCAGTGTGTGGACAGCTGGGGTCCCAGCATAGAGAAGTGGCAACATTGTGGCACTGGGCAGAGAACCCAGGAGGCAGCAGAGGACAACAGCCTCCAAACAGCCCCTGGCAGGGCAGCCGGGACAGGGCAGTAGCGTTTGCCAGAAGTTGCCAACAATTGTCGGGCAGATAAAGCCGAGGAGTCCCCATGGCATTTCGCAATAAGGTGACGTTTGCCAGATCAGTTTAGCAGAGAGCTGGGGTGGCTGCCAGGGTTAAAGGGACAAAGTGGGGGTGGGGGTGAGGAGGTGGACCAAGAGTGGAGATGAGAGACTGTAGACAGCTCTTTCAAGAGGCTTGGCTGTGGTGGGTCAAAAGAGACTGACCCGCTGGCGTCCAGGATCAGTCTAGCAGCCAAGACGGGTGGAGGGAGGAAGCTGGGAGGTGTCCGCAAGGGAAGGTTGGTAGAAGAAGTTGGGGGGCTGGGGATATAAAGGAGAGTAGAATAAAGAGCAGAGCTGGGAACTGAATCTCAGCATGGAGCTAGTCTAAAGGAAGTAAAAACAAGCGTGGGGCACCTGTTCTGAATGGTCACCTCTGGCAAGAACCCAAGAGCAATCACTGGTGCAATCACACACACTTAAGAGATGACATTAAAGGAATGCTTCAGGGCAGGGAATGGAGGCTCAGAGAAGGAAAGTGACCTGTCCAGAGCCACCCAGCAGGAATGGCCTAGGTTTCCTCTACAGATGATAGGCGGAAGGTCTCCCAGCTGCCCTCCACAGAGCTGCAGGGATCACTGTGTTCCAAAGCTGAGGTGCAAGGCTGTGTTGGTGGAGGCAGTGGGAACTGGGAAATGTCATGCCAGGCAGGGGAGGCCATTAGCTCCCTGGGACAGTGCAGTTTCCCCCACCAAGGGGGCAGAGCCCATGGCAGGGGGCGGAGTGGGCAGCTGGAGAAGCAGCAGGAGAGAGGGGGGCTTTTGCCATCTCTGAGCAGTTTGAGCTCATTTGAAGTTAGCAGGGAGAGGTGGTGGAGAGGAACTGTTTTGCTGGAGAACAGAGCACAGAAGCAGGAACTGATGATTCTGATCTGCCTCCTCAGTGCTGGACCCCACGTGGCTCTGGAACACACACAAGGAACACAATCCCTTGGGCCCCTCCAAGCAGCCCTGCTACAAGGAAGGGAGCTGAGGCCAGGGATTAGAGGGCCTGGCTCTCCTGGTCCACAGGGAGTGGCAGCCAGGGCTGGGATTTGCACCAGCGTAGGCCTGGGTCTAAAGCCAACCCTGGGAGTGGAGGAAGGGTCCTTTCCCGAAGTGGGGCAGGGAGCCGTAGGGTTCTAGGGGCCTTAGTGCAGAAAGGAGCAGCTTGCTGCAAGCCTGGGAAAAACCCAGGAGGGTGGGGCCAGCCATGGCAGACTGTGCAGCCAGGGCACTACAGGGCAGCCAGGGAGGGCCCCAGCTACCAGCCTGCTCCCTCCTGCTCAGGGCCTGGGAGCACTAGGAGATCAACTCAACTTTCACCTGTGTCCTTGCTACTGACAAAAATGACCCCAGCTTGAAGACTAGGTAGATTAGGAAGGACTCTTTCAGCTAAAGTTCAGACTAAACAAGAACAGGAATAGCATCTCATCCAACTGAACAGGTTAATGTCTTCAGAGAGGGTGGGAGCTGGTGTCTGTGGACATTACTGGGAGTCTGAGTTCTCTCACTTCCTCTGTCTCAACTCTGCTTTCCTCAGTGCTGCCTGTATTTTCAAGTGGCTCTCCCCATTATTGACACAGATGCCCTTGAGCCAGTTCCAGGCCTAAATCCTGCCAGCTGAGCAGCCCCAGTGGGGCCTTTCTTAAAGGTTCCAGCAAAAGCCCCAAGGCTGATGCCCATTGGACTGACTTGGGACACATGTCCATCCCTAAAACAGTCACTGGGTCTGACCCACAGGCCTGGATCACATGCTCCCCTCTGAAGCCTGTAATGGAAAATCAGCCCTTAGACAGGAACCAGGATGCCTGACCATGGACGTCCACTGCAGTGGGCACACTTCTCCCCTTCCAAGCCCAGGACCCCTGCCACCTGACTCCTTCCCTAAACTCCATCGCTGTAGCCTCAGTAACTACTTCTGACCAAAGTCCAGGTCAGGCCAGCCCCTGGATGTGGAAATGGGGGTGCTAAGAGAGGAAGCGGGGAGAGCAGGTAGGGTGCTGAAGTGACATGGAACAGTCCTGCATCCAGACTTTGCCACTAACTCACGGTGTGCCTCCAGGCAACTCGCTGCTCCGAGCCTTGGTTTTCCCATCTGTAAAATAGTAATAACAGCCAACGCATTGTGCACTGAAGCACTTTGTAGATATTTATTTAAAATCCTCAAACTCAATGAGGCAGGTACCATCCTCCTCCTCCTTCTCATTTTATAGTTGAAGATAAGTGAGACCAGAAAGGTCAAGCAATGAGTCTAACATCACACAGTTAGCAAGGTCTGCATGGCAGCAATGAGCCTGCCAGGAGCAGAAAGTGGCTGGCTCTGTGCCAGGGCCCATGCCTGGGGAGCGCCATGAGCACTGTACCGATGAGGGGCCACTGTTGAAGGTGTCCTTGGTAAGGAGCTTGCAGAGGCAGGATGAAGACAGAGAAGGCTCCACCAGTGGTGCTTAAAAGGTCCTGAGGGTGACCAGACACCTGCCTTTAGAGATGTGGGGAGGCAAAGAAGAAAGGGCACCAGCGGTGAGAGGAGGGTAGGGCTTCGAGGATGAAGGGCCAGGTTTCTCACATTCTAAGCCTCCATCCAGCCCCATTTTATCCTGTTATTAAAGAGGAAATTCGGTGAGGGAAAGCGTTCTAGCCAAGGTCACACAGCAAGTGACCAGCTTCTGGATCTGAATCTTCTCTCTTGTCTTTTCCACACCAAGAACCCAGAAGCCATTGGACCAGCCTCCAGTGTGGGGGAGCTTGCTCTCTGGGGGTGGGAGAGACCTGATATGTTGGTGACTTGAAGGTGATCACTGCTTTACAGACAGGAAGGCAAGTGGGGCCCTCCAAGGAGGCAGCCAGCACCCAGTACCCACTCATGAAGGCTGGGTGTGGGGGTTTCAGAGCAGTGGGTAGCTAAAAGGAAGCAGTTTCACAGAGGAAAGAGATCAGTGGTCACCCCCTCCCCCTGGTCAAGGGAACTGAGGACCACAATGGGGA